CTTGGAAAAGACTTTCGGCTAGCAACACACTATTCTAAATGGCACTCCATTCGGATTTCGCTGCTGAGACGGCCATGTGTATTCAGCAGGCATCCCATGTCTCGGAAGTCGATAAAGGAATTCTCGGTCGCTACTATCGATGGTGTGCATCTCAGAAGTTGGTTGACTCCCTGCTGATCAGTCCACTGAAGGCTTACGGAAGCCCAAAAATTCCACCACGCGTCCGCGGACTCTTTAATCAAGGAACACCTCGAGTATAGGGAAAGTTCCGAACTCAACGAGTTTATGAATGAGTGCATATCCGAGCGACCGTTGTCGCACGCCGATCTGGATTCAGATCAATTTGACTGGAAGAGTGAGTCCTATACGTCTGAATCTTATTTGCCGACTGTCCCTGAACGAGACTCTCCAGAACTTTCAAGCTCCGTCGTTTTTTCTACAACGTTCAAAATGCTTCACTACTTCCATTACTTCATTGAAGAAGAAAGAACCAGTGTGTGCATCGTCTATTTACGTATTTTGGTTCATCTAATCAGCATTCAGAGCCTATCGAGCAAATTCATAAACGAGATGACGTCCATCTCAGTATGAGACGTCTCCAAGAGAAGGCCTCCGTTTTGGTGCTAGATCAGGTACCCGGCGGGTCGGAGAAACTCGCGTGGATGGAGTGCGAATGTATAGGCCACATTGCGCGTCCGGCGTGTCACGAGTCTCGTGCAATTCGGGGCCTCGAGTGGGCATGGGTATTCAACTTCCATCAAATGTGGGTCATAACGTTGTTGGTTCATTCGCCATGACCAACCTCCATCTCCAGGCTGGTTTCTCTGGGTCTCTCGGAGACAGAAGCCGAAGATAAAGTCGCGCAATGGTTGAAATCACGAGTCGATAACATCCTTGCTCGCAAAGGACAGGTGCGGTTAATTAATCATTCTATTTCAATACCACATTTGGACACATCGAGCAGGACGAACTTGACTGGTATTCGGGGGCCGTCGGAGTAGAGTCACTGGATGAGAACATTTCTGAAGAGGTGACTGTTTTGAGACAGTTTGTTGGATACCGGTCACTCATTGGGACACAACCAGAAGAGCGCCGGGGAGTTGGAACTCAAGGATCCCATCCACCCCAATGATTTTGAGGACTTGGAAAAGGTGCGCCGGTGATTTATCTTACTAGAATCTTGTAATAATCAATTCCAGCTACGTTCGACTCGGAAGCACCCAATTCGCTGGGAGTTCGCGCTCGTTGGGCTGGAAAAAGGTGCAGGCATCGATGGTATAGTGGTCCCTCTATCAATTTCTACAAATCCTCCTAACTGAATCGCTGCACAGTGCTCATAGCGGCGTGGTTCAATGCTTTCCAAGAGCTCCGTGTGGACTGTGGGGTGAAGGGAGCAGCAGAGGAGGAGGAGGAGGAAATCGAGTTAATGGCCTTGATGCGGGCTGCACAAGATCTAAATGGTATAGTGATCCCTCCTTCGATTCCTACGAATCCTTCTAACTGAATCGCCGTAGCGAAGTTTTCCAAAGTATTTCAAAAGCTCCATGTGAATTCTAGAGTGCAGGCAGCAGAAGAGGAGAAGGAGGAGGACAAGGAGTACAATGAGTAGGAGGATATATTAGAGGAAATGTCCTGGTGAAACACTCCCAAGAAGTCGAGGGCTCCAATGCCCGGATATATAGACCCTTTTTGCACTTAATATTTTATGCTCTGTAGACTGTTGTTCAAACGCCGTCGTGACTTGTGATGTACATCAAGTCGACCGCGTTATAAAATACAATACGAGCGATTCAATTTCCGGGTGTCAAGTCGCGCTCAACCAAAACTGAACTGTTTAAAACCCTTTCTCGCGCGCTACCTAAGAGACGCTACAGCAATTTCTACTCGTACCTCGTATGTTGTACGCAACCCAAAGTTCAACCAACATCATGGTGAGCGTCTGGTAGTGATCGCCCCCCTGGAATGATTGTGTGCTCCGTTGACATCTTGTAGGTTTATGTATGGATAACCACCCGTATGTTCCTACATGTTTGTCTTCGGTAGACTCGTTGTTCATGTTGTGGACCACGCGAGTATAATAAATCCCCCCCATCAATCGAACCCCGACTCCGCCTCTTCCAAGACGTAATCACAAATTAAACCACCCGCCCCACTGGCATACGTCACAACCAACCGACCCATTCTCCCCGGAGGCCCTATAGTAGGTACATCGCAATCTCGTTACAGTTGTTCCAATGCAGATTTTACATAACATGGCGGACAACCAAGTGTGAATACAAGAGGTAGGTAACGCAAGTTGAATCACAATTCCAAAACCAGTAAATAAACCCTTAAATTCTATCCCAATCATGTACAGCAGAATCCGCGAGGCACATGCTAGTCGCTACACAGTCCATTCCGTCCTTGTCAGTTTTCCCGCCGAAGTTAGATTAGCGTGTAGCGTAGCTCACAGCACCCCGCCCAAAACACCCAGCACTACCACCGCGCCCACCACCCACCTCACATCGAGGGCCATTTCCCTGCGCGCCCTAGACGGCACCGTCCCCGTCGTCCCCACCCCCCCAACGCCGGTGCTCTGACTCCCCGACGCCGCCGCCGACCCAGACGCCACCCCCGTCGTCTGCGGCTCGTCGCCCACGCCCGTGACCGACGCGTCCGTCGCGAGCGAGGCGTTGAGCGCGAACGTGCGGATCGCGGGGATCTCGAAGTAGGCGGCGGCGTAGTTGGAGCCGTTTCCTGCGATGTTGGAGGCGAACTGTGTTAGGGTAAGGGGGCGGGGTGTAAGTAGAGGAAGAGGAGGAAGGAAAGGGAGACGCACGCAATCCCCGGGACACGTCGCGTCATACACTACCGGCAGCCCAGCCCTGCATCCCATCAACATCCCTCAAAGAAAAATAAAATCAAGTAAAAAGCGACGCACCACAACCCACACAGCGTAATATCCACCACCAACTGCTGCGGCGGGAAAAACTCGCTAATATTGCACCCCGCCGGCCCCGCAGGGTACGCCGCGCTCGGAATCCCCCAGTCCGTGATATCCATCGTCGCGTTCGGGTCGCTCGCCGACTGCGTGATCGACGCGGGGATGTCCGCGCGCGACCAGAACCACATCCATATCCCCGCGGCGTCGAACTGCAGCCCGAACGCGCCGCCGCCGGCCGACGCGAAGCCCGCGCCGAAGGAGTTGGGCTTCGTCTCCTCGACGGTGCACCCCGAGGCGGTGGTGGAGTTGCAGTTTGTAATGACGGATTGGCCGGATTGGGTGACGTTGGGGGCTTGCACGCAGCCAGCGGTGGAGTGGAGGGCCATTTGGTTGTGGTCCATCTGTGGTTTTTTTTACAATAACTCAACTGAGCAACGAGGGATAAAGAAGGGTGGAGACGCACAAGGTTTATCGCCTCGATGAGGTCGATCTCGCCCGCCGCGGGCCACACCTGCCCCGGCTCGAGCACGCCGTTGAGCCAGATACTCGGCCACACGGAGCACCCGTATGGCATGTGCAGCGCGTCGATGACAAAGAGCGTACCCACCGGGAACTGCGCTCGAGATGTAAGCCGGACCTAGCGCCAAGTCAGCACGGAGGTAAATTCGCAGAAAAATCAAGGACGACGTACAGACTTGCGGTACTGGATCCCGACACTGAGCACATCGCTCGAGTTGTCGACTTTTATTATGGCGTTCCCCTGCGGGTTGATGAACGCGAGCGACTCGGCGTTGGCATCCGCTGCGTCGACGTACGTCACGTTGCCTGGTTCGAATTCAAATTCAGGTTTCAGTTCAAGAAAGACGGAGCAAAGACGCACCCCATGTCGTGTTATCTATCGCCCCGTAAAAGGCAAACCCGTCAAAGAACGTCGTGCCGGAGTACTCGACGAAGGGGTAGTACGTCGCCGCCGCGCGGCCAGCAGCAAGAAGCGTAAGCGTAAGTAGAGTGTAGAGTGTCCGCATCATGATTCGTCTCTCGTCCACTCCGATTCGTTCAAAATTCGTTGAAAAAGTCGTTAGTAGCAAGTCTGTCTGCCGCCTTTTCCTGTGTGGCCACAGGCTGATAAGCGCCCGGAGCTTCTCTAGCTCCGCTGCTGGACGCACCGAAACGTGTGGCAAGCGCAAAGGTCAGGAGTAGAGCAGGAGAGGAGGAGGAGGAGGAGGAGGAGAGGAGGATGTGGCGCAGCTGCGCAGAGCGGGAACGTGGGGTGACGGAGAGAGGATGTCGGACACGCGAGCCCGAAGATACCCAAAAGGGAAATCAACCACCACCACTTTTGATCCACGTGCACGCGTGTCCCATTTTTATATTCGGCCAACAGCGGCCGCGGGCAGAGCCGGTGATGGTCGCATTTCAACATTTTCATTTCTTCCAACATTTCATTTCTTCCGGGCTCTGGTTTCCTGCGCTCTCGGCCAGACGAGGGATACTGGCGAGGAATTCATGATGTCACCTCCACCGGCGGGCTTTGCCCCGGGCACTCCACGCCTCGAGGCCTCCGCCTGGAAGGGAAAAAATGCCCGACAAAGGGAAATGTCTGGTTTTATTTCCGTCCCGCGAGACATTTCATTTATTTCAGTCTCGCGTATATCGACGAGAGCCTGGGCTGTGCATGCCAGCACACCGAGGGCCTAAATTGACGCATCATGATGGGCTCTTCGGCGCCCCCATTGGATGTTGATTGAGTCTTGACGGATTACGCGATGCCGGTCTGAACTTGGAACGCCGGTAGCACTTGTGCTTTATTCCAAGGTACAGGGTCTATTCAAAGACCCGGCGGGCCATATATTTTTTCGGGTTGCACTGGTGATGGCAGAAACGGCGAATGGATAAGATCCGTGCATGTTCTCACCACTCGAATTCGAAAGCCGCCTCACCTACCTCACCGCAAGTCCTCTTTCTTACTTTACTTACAAGAAAAGGGAAATGAAGTATATACAGTAGCGCTATCGTCAACAAGTGTGAGGGACGAAACCAAAAAGTACCTGAAACAAAAATGCTTGAAAAACTCGAGCTCTCGACCGGGGAGTCGAACCCTGCTCTCCCGCGGACAGCTGTGTATGTTCTGCATGATAAGCGGGTGTACTTAACCCATATACTAGTCAAAACATAACAAGTAAGTGAGCGTGGTAGCTTATGGTATGTTCGACCTATGTACCTCAGTACGGAATATTCTTTCAGAACCGCAAAGTTCTGTAAGGGAGAGCGGGATGGACGAACCCTGGAAAAATGCACGAAAAAACTCTCGACCAGGGAGTCGAACCCTGCTCTCCCGCGGACCACAGTGTATCCTTTTCGATGACAAGCGGGTGTACTGAACAGATATACTAGTCAAGATACACAGGGCATTTAAGCGTGATAGCTCATGGCATATCTATGCGCATTCATAACATAGGGTTTCCCAAACTAAATATCGGCGATGGCAGTGGCCGCGATGCTAAGTATGTCTCTGGGTCATGGTACCAGTCAACGCGGGCATTACACTAATCAGTGTGTCATTCCGAGACGATTGCGGGCCGTTAATAAAGCGGGGTCGTTTCCGATTTAGGAACCTCGAGACGGGAGGTGTCAATTCATGAAACACAACATCGAATGACACGTGATCGCGTAAGAACGCGTCGCCCGCCGATAGTCGCGTAGAATCTCAAACAATCTGCACTCCTTTTACGGGGAGGGTTAAGCTGCCCTTTAAGTTGTGTGGATCACTATGTGGCAATGCACGAAAAACTCTCGACCAAGGAGCACTGCGGTGGCCGATGGATTTTTAGGACAAAAACATGTAGTCCAAACATGAATTCCCGTTTCGGTATATTTTTCTCGCCGCTCCAAAACTAATTCATTTTCTGACATATGTTGTGCATCAAAAACAAAGTCTATTTTTCCATCCCAAACTCCCACGAAAAATACAACATGTTTCGTCTCCGTTTAGCCAAGAAACAGACTCCTTTTCGAGCACCAAACAGGTGTTTTTCCATTGTACTCCCTCTGTTTGGGACTTACAGCTGTTTCCGAAAAGCTTGAGACAACGTGAAATTTTTTGCTCGCAACCAACTTTTGATCGCATGTTAAGGATTACTGTTTTTGGATGGGCGGGCCGAGGCCTGTCAGTAACACGCGCCCTATAATGACGTTTTCGAGATCCGGTTCTCCAAGTTAGTAGCACAGTGTCATCGATTGGTGATACTCTCTTCCTTGTACATGGTCTACCGTGCCATCAGCGACGACTTGAAAGAGCGTGCATTATGGCTACTGGAAGCCGCGGTTACGGTAATCAATCGGTAATCAAGTATATTTATGATGATCTGTCCGGGGGTATCCAAAAACAGTAATCCTTAACATGCGATCAAAAGTTGGTTGCGAGCAAAAATTTTCGCGTTGTCTCAAGCTTTTCGGAAACAGCTGTAATACAACATATTTCTGCTGCTAGAAAGGCAAGAAAAAATGGGGTATTTTTCTCGACCGTTTGCGATGCAAAAGGGGATTGAATTTGGCTTTTATTTGTGGGTCAAAAATGTATCCGAGAAAGCGGATTTTTAGAACTATCTTTCGGACAACTACGAAAATACAGGCAAACGGGAAGACATGTTTGGACGTGGTGTTTTGTTCCCAAAAAGTCATCGGCCACCGCAGTGGAGTCGAACCCTGCTCTCCCGCGGAACAGATCAGAATAATGGTATTCATGACGGGTGTACTGAACCGATATACTAGTCAAGACACATTGAATAGGTGAGCATGATAGCTTATGGCATATCTGTTTGTCATGTCCGAAACGTATGTGACTATGTCTACGTGCGCTGCGCGCGTTAATTGGCGGTTAGCTGGCGAGTTTAAAGGTCTCGCTGCTCTGTCGCTACTGACCGGGTTTCGGCTTGTTCTTCCATATAAAAGTCCTGATTCTGCCTGGATAAGATAGACAAATGTTGACCTGAGTTGAGGGATAAAGATTTTGGAATATTCTGCTTGATACGATAATTGCAGTGGCACTATTGGCACTTTGCTGCAGCAGTCGTGCTTTATGCTGCGGCAGTCCTGTATCCTTTAGCGTGCGGTTTACAGCGGCAGTATAAAACGACGTTGTTTGAACAAGAGTCTTAGGGCGCATCAAATATTCAGTGAAAAAAGGGTTTATATCTTCGCGCATCCTCGACTTCTTGCGAATAATTCACCAGTCTATAATATATTATCCTGCTCCTACTCCTTCTCCTCCTCCTCCTCCTCCGACTTCTCCTCTTCTTCCTTCCCTTCTTCTTCTGCTGCCTGCACCCCATAGTTCACAAGAGCTTGTGGAACGCGTCTGACCACGCCGCCATGCGCACTATACGGCGATCCGGTTAGGAGGATTCGAGAAATTGAAGGAGGGATCACGATACCATCTAGATTTTCTGCTGCCTGCACCCAGGCCAACATACCCTCCTCTGCTGCTGCCTCCACCCCACAATCTACACGGAGCTCGTGGAACGCGTCGAACCACGCTTTTATGAGCACTGTGGCAATACGGTTAGGATGTTTCGAGAAAATGGAAAGGGAACTATTATACCATCGATGCCTGCACCTTTTTCCAGCTCAACGAACGCAAACTCGCAGCGAATTGGGTGCTTCCGAGTCGAAAGTAGCTGGAATGGATTATTATAGGATTCAGGTAAAGTAACACACAGGGGCACCTTTTCCGAGCCCAGGTTCCCAAAATCATTCTGGTTACGCTCCAATGAGTGATTGGTATCCAATAGAATGTCTCAAAACAGTCACCTCTTCAGAAATGATCTCTTCCAGTGACTCGAGTCCAACGGTCTCCGAATCCCAATCAAGTTCGTCCTGCGCGTAGTGTCTAAATGAGGGATCATTGAACCAGAATGATTAATTAACCGCACCTGTCCTTTGCAAGCAAGGATGTTATCAACTCGCGATTTCAACCATTGCGCGACTTTATCTTCGGCTTCTACCTTCGAGAGACCAAGAGAAACCAGCCTAGAGATAGAGGTGGGTGAGTGCAAATGAACCGAGAACGTTGTGAACCCACATTCGATAGAAGTACCCTACCCATGCCCACTCGAGGCCCCGAATTGCACGAGACTCGCGGCACGCCGGGGTCTATACATTCGCACTCCAACCACGCGGGTTTCTCCAACCCACCGGGTACCTGATCTAGTCCCATAACGGAGGCCTTCTCTTGGAGACGTCTCATACTGCGATGGAAGTCATCTCCTCGTTTATGAATTTGCCCGCTAGGCTCCGAATCGTTGATTAGATGAACCAAAATACGTGAACAGACGATGCAAATACCGGTCCTTTCTCTTTCCTCGAAGTACTGGAAGTAGTGAAGAATCTCAAACATTCTAGAAAATGGGAGGAAGCGCGAAAGTTCTGGCGAGTCTCGTTCAGCCAGGCGGTAATCAGATTCAGACGTATAGGACCCACTCTTCCAGTCTAATTGATTCGGATCGATGTACGACACCGGTCGCCCTGATATGAACACATTCACAAAATGGTCGAATTTGGGGTTTTCCCTGTACTCGAGGTGCTCTTGGATCAAAGAGTCCGCGGACGTGTGGTGGAATTTTTGGGTTTCCGTAAGCCTTCAGTGGAGTGATCAGCAGGGAGTTAACCAACTTCTGCAATGCACACCATCGATAGTAGCGACCGAGTATTCCTTTGTCGCATTCCGAGACATGGGATGCCTGCTGAATACACATGGTCGTCTCAGAAGCGAGATCCGAATAGAATGCCATTTGAAATAGTGTTTCGCTAGCTGAAAGTATTTTCCAAGGCAAGTGGTTGAACAAGTGATAATTCGAGTGAGGGGGAAACAACCACCTTAGATACCGCGAGAACAAAAGGGAAGAAAACAAAAGGAGTGAGAACAAATGGATGTATCAAAGGGGGTGTACAGTAATACAAGGTGGCCAACTCGTCGCGAGGATCTAGCCCATACACAACGATCAACTGTTAGTGTGGCCAACATCACAGGAGGCGCTTAGACTGTCACACCAATTCAAATTCTGCTTTCAAATGAGGCAGGCCAAGATTTCAAACTGGTGCTCGATGACTGCAAGATCCAGGAGTTTTTTCATCGTGAATGCATGATGAAACGAATAGATTTGGCGCGCTGGCAAGTTTAAACTTCAATTCTTTCAAGTTGAGCCCAATTTCTCGTAGGCGTCAGAAGACGCCGCAACAGGATTGAGGATCTCACCCACGTTCTTTTTTTTTTTTGGTTAGTTCTGTAATTGTCAATGTAAGTTGGCTGAGATCTCGATACGGAGTGAAGCCGAGAAGCCCAAAAGGCGTTGTCCCCCATGTTATGTAAAAATCTGCGAATTGGAACAACGGGATTGCGATGTACTGGATGGCCTCTGGCAGGGGGGTTCAAATTGGTTGCAATTCGGGGCGGTTGATTTAATTTGTGGTTACGTCTTGGAAGAGGAGGCACTCGGGGTTCGATTACGTAGCGCGCGAGAAAGAGTTTACAACAGTTCTGGTTAAGCGCATTCCGAGTTCCGACTTGACGCCCGGAAATTGAATCGCCCGTATGGGATTTTATAACGCGGTCGATTTTATGTACACCACAAGTCACGACGACGTTTGAATAAGAGTCTACAAAGCATCAAATATTCAGTGAACAAAGGGTTTATATACTGTATCTGCGCATTGGAACCCTCGACTTCTTGCCAGTAATTCACGAGGAAATCTCCTCTAATATATCCTCCTACTCCTTGTCCTCCTACTCCTTGTCCTCCTTGTCCTCCTCCTCCTCCTCCTCTGCTGCCTGCACCCTAGAATTCACACGGAGCTTTTGAAATACTTTGGAAAACTTCGCTATACAGTAGGGATTCAGTCAGGAGGATTCGTAGAAATCGAAGGAGGGATCACTATACCATTTAGATCTTGTGCAGACCGCATCAAGGCCATTAACTCGATTTCCTCCTCCTCCTCTGCTGCTCCCTTCACCCCACAGTCCACACGGAGCTCTTGGAAAGCATTGAACCACACCGCTGTGAGCACTGTGCAGCGATTCAGTTAGGAGGATTTGTAGAAATTGATAGAGGGATCACTATACCATCGATGCCTGCACCTTTTTCCAGCCCAACGAGCGCGAACTCCCAGCGAATTGGGTGCTTCCGAGTCGAACGTAGCTGGAATTGATTATTACAAGATTCTAGTAAGATAAATCACCGGCGCACCTTTTCCAAGTCCTCAAAATCATTGGGGTGGATGGGATCCTTGAGTTCCAACTCCCCGGCGCTCTGCTGGTTTGTGTCCTAATGAGTGATCGGTATTCAACAAAATGTCTCAAAACAGTCACCTCTTCAGAAATGTTCTCATCCAGTGACTCTACTCCG